CTGTATCACAATTTTTATCATACCTATATGGTTATGCTATCATTTTCCGCTTTCATTCCATGGTATTTGCTTTTTTCCACTGTAAGTTTAACACATTAAATGTTATTTATATGGATAAATCTGAAGCAAAGTCTACCATTTATTATCTTTTTTCCAACAGCATGATAAGATATAGATGATAGGTATAGCTGTTTTTTGTCTCATTTCATTTTATTATGAGTATTATTTAAATAAGCAACAAATAAAGTGAGCAGTTTTTATTGCTTCTTCGTGTAATATAAAAAGTTGGTCGATTAGTTCAATCGTTTAAAGGAAAAATTTAATAGTTGGGAGTTTTTAGACGATAGAAATCCTTGTTTTATTTCTCTTTGTTTTTTTTTTTCTTTTTTCTATCCTCAGTTGATTGATGTATTATCGTTTGGATTACAGAAGCGAGAAAGAATATTTCTCATTGAAGTTTCTCTTTTATTTGGATTACTGTCTTGTATTCGCTTCACTATCACTTTTGAACTTCTCATTGGCATATATTATTTCGTTAATTGCTGTACCGTTGATAATACTATTCACAGCGATTGATAACTGTAATCGGTAAGTTAGTAGTTTCTAACAAGATTTTTGGTGCTTCACAAGAGATGGACTTAGAGAATAATTTCATTATTGCTGTGCGATGTATAGGATTGCTTCGAGTACAGTATTCTTAAATTCTAGAAAATCTTGATCGAAATTTTAAAACTTCCCAAGTTAATCTAATTATAATATCAATTTTTTCTCAGATTGTTTCTTTTTCCGTTAAATTTACAAAAAAGGAAAAAAAATTTTTTTAGTTTGCTCCAAGGGAAAGTTTCGTTTAGATTCAAATTATAGAATTAAAATTTTAAAAGGTATACTTTATTTCAGAATTATTTGTCGATTAAAAGCTTTATTTGGTTTCCTATTACATCCTTTTGTTGTATATTTCTTATGCCGCTGTTTGCTCTATGATGTTATTCCAACAGAAGCACACATAAAGCATCTAATAAAGGATCTCATCAAAAGTCATCTTCTATATGGCAGTTTTCTTTTTCCATTCATTTACATTTGTTTGTTACCTTTATGGAATTTCTCAATTCTGATTTCATCCACACCTATAATTCGTTCATAAAAGTTTATCTTTCATCTTAGCTTCCTTTTTTTTTTCTGTTTGATATGTCAAAGATTTGATGATGATCTAGTAGAATTTTCAAAAATGTTCTTTTGTTTTAAAAAATCACTTAGTATCGTTTGTCTATTTCGTATGATTAAGTTGCAATAACATACTGAATATGGCCATGAAAGAAAGTTTATCTGTGATCTGGGCTATTTGCCTCCAGGTTCAGTCTATCACCTTTATCAATGATATATTTGAAAGTTGGATATGTGATCACGAAATCGAATAATGAAGTTTCACTAAAAAAAGAAAGTGTTAAAACTTCACTGCTTCAACTTAGAAAAAGAATGAATCGAGTTATTGTTACCGATCAGTAATTTACAAAAGAAGAAAGCAACATATTTCCATATTTGAATGTTTCTCCTGTTCAGAATAAAAGTTTAAAAAAAAAAAAGTTGAATTTGATCTTGCTAAGATTATTTTCCAATAAGTCTTCTTGTTAATTAGTTTTATCATTGTTTATATATATTACAACGATTATTGTCAGAGAAATAAGTGTAATCCGTATGGATATTCGAAATGAAATTCAACAGTGAACCGAATAGTACTCGACCACCAGTAATATCTAACTGTTGAAGAATGTTGTAAATTTCTTCCCGTGACATTTTCTCACCAACGGATGATAAAATACCGATGAATTCAGGTACCGTAATCCAATTTTGATTTTTGGAATCAATTCCTCGAAGTGCGCCAATAATTTCATGTATTGGATCACCTTTCTGGTTTTCTTCATATAAAATTTCCAAAAATGATGGGAAATCCAATTTTTGTCCTGAAACTTATTTCGCTCAAATTTAGGAAATATTTCTAATAAATTTTCAAATTATTTAATAGATGCATTTGTTGTTTGTTAAAAATTTGTTACAGCAAATTAACTTTTAGTAAATTTCAAAAAAACTGTTGTCTTAATAAACTTAACAAATTAAATCAAGCTAATAAATTTTGAAAGATAAATAATGATGACTGATGTCTAATTTTGATCAAAACTATCCAATCGATTAATATTATCATTTTAATTATCACCGTATTTACGAAAATATTGTATCGTTTCCGGTATAGTTGGAGTGTAACCAAGGCTACGCATTATATAACGTAAATGTGATGCATTTTGTGCACATCCCTTGGGACAGTATAATGTGAAGCATTGCCGATATTCTGAAAGTAAAGTTAAATGTTGTTTGGATTTAAAATTTCCATTGTAAGGATAAGAGCAATTGTTTATTCAACAGATATTCCCAAGATGATTCAGTGTACATTCTCATTTGATTAGAGATGACTGATGCCTTATCAGATGAAATTATGTGATAAGGAATGATTGAAGTTTAAACATTTCCTTCAACTTATCTGTCATTTGCAATTAACTTTGATAGTCTTTTTTTTTTGCCTTCTAAGAAGATTTGATATAACTTACCTTCAATTTGCTGCTGAGTGAAGTACTGAGCCTGGAAAAAGAAATCAAATTTATTCAGAATTTCATTTCCTTTTTTCCTATATGTTCATCCAAAAGTAAAACAATCGTCACTTAAGCAAATATCTAATCTATCCATGTAGTAGCTCAAAACATCCCAACACATGATTTTCTTATCAATTTAAATTAATTTTTCAACCTACAGCGCCATATTTCGCATATAAGGTATGGCTATACAGGTCGAAAAGCAATTTCAATTTCAAATTTTCAGAATTTTAATTCCAGATTTCAAAAATATTCCTCCACTCATTCCAAGAATTCTTCATCAGTGTTTGTATTAATTTTGATTTAAATGAAATATGAATACTTAATAAGTCATAATATTTGAGAGTGGGTAGCTTTTTTTCTTTAATTCTGAGAAATCCTGAATAAATATTAATGAAAAAAGGAAATGTTTACCATTATCAGAATCAGATTCACTACACCAATAGCGCCACTCCAATGGTATCAACTGTTGCTACCACAGAAATATGCCCTATTTTTATCGACAAATTGGTCGATGACAAAGGATGTCCGATGACCTTGTCGAACAACCAATCGATCATTTTCGAAGGTGAGACAAATTCCTCACCGGTACGCTATTGATCGTAAGAATCTGGTGAAGAAGTTAGCGACTAGATCCTAGATCCCTTCGTTCAATAATTGCAATGTTATGACTATGGTCGAAAATAAGCTGCGTGTCAGTGTATCTTCTGCCAGTCCAATCCCATGAACTCATTGAGTAGCAAGGAAAACTCGGAATTTATTCTTAATGTAATTCTGATTGAAGAATCAAATCAATTTACAAAGCTCACGTTCCATGTTATGTGAATAAAACCTGAGAGACAAAAATTTATTTGATGAGTTTGCATTTCATTTACATTTTATTAAGTTCATCACAAACGATGTATTGACGCATCACCTCTTAAACTATCTGCGTCTGTCAGTGTCACTTGAGCCTGAAATTGACATATTTTAAAGCTATCTTAATGGAATCCGAGAACTCATTAATAAATACTACAGAGAACCAGTAAATCTTTTCGATGTGTCATTCCAAAAATTCTACGCGACGACTGATACTTAATTTACCTCAGTATCAGGCCGTTCCAACTTTTTGCGCCAATCTTCTTGGCCAAGACGTGTGGTTGATTCCATATAAACTGGAAATATTAGCTTAAACAACATAACAAGTTGCAACTAAATCTTGAATCCAGTTAATTTTTAAGAACAATGGAATTCTTCAGAGCAGATATAAAAACGATACCATGAAAGACAAACATTCAAAAGATGTGTACGTAAAGTGATTACATAAATCTATGGCAGAGGAAATACATAAGAAAAGTGAAAAGAATAAACTGAATAACCAAGTACTTACAAATAGAATGCTGTACGTAATCTTTCGCCAAATCTTTTGCCCGATCTTGACTAAACAAACTATCTTGAGCAAGATTTCGCCTTTTTCAACCACTTCTTTCAGCATCTCACCCTTTTTCTTTTCTGTCTCGATAATATTACTCATTCTTGCACTGAAATTTCAAGTCATTATATAAACTTTACTCTGCAATAATCAAGATTATTCGGGTTTCTAGTGTGAATGAAACTAAAAAGTGCAATATATCAGAAGAAACTGGGCAAGAGGATAAAGATGAAAGGCATACTTGCGATAAGCTGTTCATAACGTGAATGACCACAGAAGGTACCTTATTCCGCTGAATGTTGCAGTTACTATGTAAACATAAGAGAAAAGTAAAAGGAATTACTTAATGCCTAAATCCACTTCTGGAATACCAGCAAGCATTTGGTTTGATAATAGTTCATCATTACGTTCACTTCGGAAAAGACGAACTTTTTCCGCTGCTTTCCACATAAGGCTATCTTCCATACTTGGTACTTTGGACTGCAATGAGTTATAATTCACAAAATCTATTTTAGTACTAAAAACAAACCTTCATTCATTCCCTGCAAAATATCTTCTTCAACAAGAACTAAAGCTAGAGTATTTTTATTCGACGTTAGTCGTAAAAAGCTACCGTTGTAGCATCACCATCTTCCAAGTCTTGTACTGCTTTTCGTTTGCGTAATTCCGCTTGCACGTACTTCTTCCTGCAAATACAATAATAAGGACGAAAGAATACTGATGTGATATGTGATATGAAGCAAATGAACTACATTCATTTGATGTTAATTTAATAAGAAAATTTCAAACACATTATGTCTAAAATAGTTAAACATCACACAAGAAAAAAAAAGTAACAAATAATGAACTCAAAATTTGATAAATTCGAGAAAAACAAAACAGTGATACTTTAAACAAACAATGTCCTACAAAAAAAAGTCTTCAAAATGAGTGAAATATGATGCGATATCTAAAGCATGGTTCAATTTGCCATACAGCTGCGCTGCGAAGTAATTATACATCAAATAGAACCATGTATTAGACCTCGGCAAGAATGGTTTTTTTCAATTATATAACAGGCCACTTCGAAATACATTTGCACTCGAGAGATGAGTATTTGTGGTGAATTACTAAATTTTTGGATAATACTTCGAGGCTTTAATCGGTTTTTTTTTTTCTATTAAATCAATTGTCGCTCAAATCGTGTTATCTTAGACGAAACTTACATCTCTTCATGTTCATCTCTCAGAAAACTTTCTTTCTTGAACTGATCTCGTATACCAGCTTCGATATCTGCTGCATGCCTGCAAAAATCAAGTAAAAAACATTAAAGTAGTCTATTTTTCTTTAAATGCGATTGTTGCCAATCGCTCCGATTGTGCTTAATCATTTCATAACTGCTACCGTATTTATCAATGTATATCCTTGAATCTTCAGATAGCAAGCCTTAATGTGTGGAATGATTAGTGGTAGTTGCAAATGTTTTGGAAATGATGAACATATAATACTGATAGAAAGATCTTCAGAGCTTAAAGATTCTTTTAAAAAAGCATTGCAAAATTAACATTTGAGCTTGGCGTCCTTCAGACAATCGAAGCATGCCTCCACCACGCTGTCGAAATGGATCGTCATCCATTGCTATGAATTCCGCTGCAAGCTCTTTACCTAGAGCGCATTCTACAGCATTCAATCCATTTTTGCATACACGACTTTCTTGCAGTTCTTTTATGCCTTCTAATTTACACCTAAATTTCCCTCTTTTAAGTGAAAAATAATTCACTTAACTATAAAATAAAAATGAATGCGCAATTTATCCTTTATTTATCCTCTTCAAATGTCACTTGCGATGACTATTTCTAAGCTTCCTAACACTAACTCCGACTAATCAACTAGTTCAAATCTTTGTGACACTGACATCAGCGACACTGACATTTTCATTATTGATTAAAGATAAATAAAAACATCACTACATTATTTTTAATCCACTTATACCTAAGAACAATTCCAAACATGAATTAATAAAAGGAAGGGCTAAGCGTATTTGATAATCAGAAGATAACCATAAAATTTCCATAAAAACATGTAAAACTTACGCAATTTCGGCTTCTTCTTCCGCTGTAATTTCGTCGTCATCGAATATACGTTCACGCAAATGACGTTGTTTCTTCTTGGTTGGTTTTTTGAACAAAGACATTCGAAAATACTTCACGTTTTTCGGAAATCCAAATCGAAATGAAACTTTTTATCTAAAAGAAAAAAAAAACCCATGCAGTGTTAGTCAATACAAGAATACATACACGACCATTTAGATTGAATTCATCAAAAACGACAACATGACATATGACAAAATCCATGCTTAATTCACATCAAACAACCAAATGATCTATCAAGTTAATTCGAACAATAATATTTAAATGTGTCAATATATTGTCGAAATGAATAATCCACGACCAGTGCTTTAAATACAATTTTTAAATGAACTATTATCAGCGTTCGCAGCATGTATAGCTATGTACATGAGTAGTTCCACATTTCGTGAACCTGAGTTCCAGTTCTCCTATAACTTTTCTACTGGGATCACGTAAGTGCAATAATTAGTAATAATGATTGGTAATACATGACTCATCCTCCATGATCTCTTAGTGAATCCGAGAGTTTTTAAAATAGAATGGAATGAAATCCGGGTTTTGATACATACCACCTCCGTAATTTCCCAATGATCCGAGAGTTTTGCAAAATGAAGCGGAAATGAGGATCTTTATACATGCCAACTCTGTAACCTCTCAGTAAATCCGAGAGTTCTGTAAAATGAGATGGAGGTGAAATGAGGGTCCTGATACGTACCAACCCCGTTATATCCCAGTAATCCCAGAGTTTTGTAAAATGAAACGAAATAAACTGAAATAAAGCCTTGAACAGGACAAATAGAAACTAGAAATAACAAACAGACCTCGTCCATCCACATTTCAGAGAACTTACCGAATTTTATCCACTCGTCCCTCTTTGACCCGATTGAGAAAGGATCAAGTTGCGATTATTCGGGATTTGCTTTCAGTCCGGCAATCGATTGGAGAATAAGGTATGGTGTTTCATGTCTACCGTAATGATGTGTAATTTCACACAACAGAACACGTGTAGCATAAAGTTGCGACGTGTAAAGTTACGCAATGCATTACGCATAGCATAAAGTTGCAGCGTGCAAAGTTATGC